TGTGAATGTGAAGAAACACATGAGAAAGCACACGGCGAGAGAAACCGTGGTATAAAGTGTTTGATCTGTGTGTTTGTGCTGCCTTCGCATGTCGGCAGTAGTCGTGAAGACAGTCGATCTATGAGAACCTCACACGGGAGAGACAACCGTTAATAGTGCGATATGTGTGATGCTTGCCTTCGCACATTTGGGTAATATTGAAGATCGACAACAATGAGAACTCACACGGGCGCAAGAGTAACCATATAGTTGTCGATTCCTGAGTGACGCTGCCTTTGCAATTGTCTGCAATCACATGTGAGAGACACGAATTGAGAACACGCAACACGAATGAAAACTATCATTCAAATGCTCTTCGCTTCTTGCTCTGAAGACCACTCCTATTGGATCGCAATTGAGATTACAGCAGAAGTGCCATCTCGAATCCTTGAGACCCACATGTAAGCAGCGAGTCTGCTCTAGGTGAACACGCGAGTCACACCGCACACATGCTGATCTGAATGCCAGTGTAGGAAATGCCAGACGCAATACAACTCGAATGCTGACAGCTTCATTGCCAGATGGACGGGCTGGAACTAGCGAATTTGCTTGTGAAAGCTCTGAACCGCTAAGTTTACAGTGACATGAATTCGTGTTTTAATGATGAGCCCATTGTGTGAGCATTTAACAAATGTGTTAACTTTTGTCTTACAAATCTAACTGCAATACCATTTACTCTCGTGATATTAACTACCATAATGTATGACAATGTCTCTAAGTAAATTGGTAGTCAGTCTAGATGGAGTGGACTCCATGCGTTTATCTCGGTGGCCGCACCGTGACGGGTGCGCGCACCCTGTTGCGTTGATTACTTGTTTGCGCTGGCTAAGTTTGCTATATTTTGTAAATTACGCGCTGTTGCTTCAGGGCTGAATGGCATGCACTTGATTGTAAATATGATTGTCTGAATGACTATAGACTGTTGGTGTACCCTACAGAGAAATAGCGGATTTGTATATTAAAATGAAAATATCGTGGTCTATATTTTAATCATTTTTGTTGCTCCATGCTAGTTCTAGACGTAACGTTTTCCACCGCAACACAACGCTATACGCTGTATATATTACTTGCACTTTTGCTCTCTGGTCAATGTCAGAGTGTATTGATATATGACGGACACTATAGAGGGCAAGTGAGGATTTAAAAACCAAAATAAAACCCGAAGGGACAGTGTTTTCCCTCGAAGATGACTCTCTGGGAGGGTGAAGACAGCGAGAGCAGGACCAGAGCAATAAAATTGACTGATAGCGGAGCGAATGCATGAGAACAATAGCGCGCAAAAATGGTTGATGTTTCTATTCATATCAAAATTCATAATGGTGTGTAGCATTTATAGCACTATGAGATTACACTTTCAATGATCGGTTTTAGATGGAGATCGACAACACAGGACGTATTTATTAGCTTATCTGGCATAAGTCAGAATTGCAGCTTGTGAAATCGCTTGATTCGCCGTGCGTCCGTACGTGCGTCCGTCGCGTGCGTAGCCGCCGGGGCAAGGTCCGACAGACTTAGGCGGCGCACAATCTTAACGCGCTCGACAGTCCACCCGGTCACGATATTCGCGGATGTGGGGGCCGGTAATCGAAAACGCAGTTGGCGAACAGGTTGTCGACGGCTGGCACGCGGTCAATGGTCAAAAGCGTCAAGAGGGTGTAAAAGAAGGATTGGAACATTCACTCCTTACTTAGGTCACAGGGATGGGAAATGCAGAATTGCGGACACAACATCTAAACGGCTCCGCCGTAGGCTTCGTGATAGTCGGCTGTATTAGATCACTGGAGAGAAAAGCCATCACTGGCCAAATTGAGAAGGGTCACAGGTTCAAAGGTACAGTCGCAGGCAACAGGCAGATTTTTAGACTTTTCTGAGAGACATGGTCTGACGAGCGCTATTGGAAAAACTTTTTTGTTTCGTCGCGTGAACCTAAGCAATTTTTGATCCGCTTTTATGAAAGGACCATCGAAATGTCCTTCTGCCTAGACATGCGAACGAGCTAAATGGTCGGATAACTCCTTTTGGACTCAAAGAGGAGGGTTTAAAGATTGTGTTTAGTTGACTGTTCTGTTGAAAGAGCTTGAACTGCGGGTTTGCTAGTAGAACTCATAATACATGCCTGGCTGAGTGTATGAGCTAACATGTCACCCAGT